CGCGCCGCCCGCCGCCCCGGCGGCGCAGATGGCAGCGGCGCGGGAGCTGGCGCGCTGCTAACTTTGTTCTCGGCCGTGCCCGCGAAGCCGCCCCGGCCGCCGGGCCCCGGGCGCCCTGGTGTGCGGGCCGGGCCGGGCCGGCGGGTCCCCGCACGGTGACCTGGTCCCTGGGAGCACGGGCCGGGGGCAGCACGGGGCGGGAGGCCCGCGTGCTGTTGGTGCCAGCTGTGGCGGGATGCGAGGGCTGCCTGGTGCACCCCTGGCCGTGCCCGGCGAGCCTGGGTGTCCTGGCGGGCACCCGGGGCCTGCCTTGCTGCGGAAGCTCCAGCAGCGGCCCTGCTCCGGGGTGCTGAGCCCCGAGCGTGGCCGCCTCTCCCGCCGCACTGCCGGCTGCTCCCGGTCCCGTAGCCCCTGCTGCTGGGTCCGCTCTGGAAGGCGGCTCAGTGGCTCGTGCAGAGCATTGCTCCGAGTGGGGTTGTAGGGTAACGTGACATTGCGGGGAGTGGCGGGTGCCACGGGCAGGGACTGCCCCAGGCTCCCTGGGGCGCAGCAGCCGCCACGAGCCCCGGCCTCATCCTGCTACGGCCTCCTGGGCTCAAGTCTTGGGGGTGGGACAAGCCCCTCTGCTTTCCTTTGGGCACAGCCTGTCCCGGCTCGGAGCTGCAGAGCAGCTCGTGGTGCTCCAGCCGGTGTCGCCTTCTTTTTTCTTTTCTGTTTTACCAAAGAGGGAGAGATCAGTCAGCTCCAGAAAGGGAGTTGTAGGCCGTGGCGAGGTTCCGATGGGCCCCGCGCTGCCGGCAGCGTCCCCGGCAGGGGCACCCAGGGGTGACAGTGGCTCCCGGTGGGGAGGCTGCTCCCAGCAGGCCGTGACTCCCAGCCCTGGCCGCGGGGTAGAGCGGAGCTGCAACCGCTCTGGCCCGCTCGGCTCCTCCTTGGGGACACGGGGGTCGGGAAAGGTCCCTTTGGGGCTGAGGGACCGGAGTGGCGCCCATGAGACCCTGCTGCGTCCCCTCTGAGCTGCATGCAGCCTTGCAGGCCCCTTTGCACCCGGTGGCAGGGAAGCAAGTCCCGAGCGGGCTGCGCAAGAGCCCTGGGAGCAGCGCAGCGCTGCGGGGCGGGCCGCGCTGGAAGCCCTCGCCCTGCGCTGCCCACCCGCCAGGACACAGCCCCGGAGCCCCTGCAGCTGCGAGGGCCGTCGCAGCTTCTACCTGTGCAAAAACAAGTGCTTCTTTCTCATTCAGTGTCCGTGTCTTGCATGGGGGGCAGTGCTGGCCACGCGAGGAGGGGCAGGGACGGGGCGAGCAGGATGGAGCAGCCTCTCCATGGGTCCAGCTGTGCTCCCGGACCCGTCCGGCCCTGGGAGAGGTGGAGGTGGCAGCTGCAGCCGCCCAGGCCGCGGGAGCTGGACCAGGGCACGAGCAGCGCTGCAGCAGGGCCGGCTCCAGGAGCAGTGGTGCTGGGCTGTGCTTATCCCTGCATGGCCGGGCTCTAGGGCAGGAAAAGCCCCTTTGCCGCAGGGCACCTGGGCTGAGCTGTTCCCTTCTAGGTGTCCTGCAGTGCGGGCTGCTCTGCAGCCAAGCTGGGCTCAAGCTCCCTGTGCCAGTCTGGCTGTGGGCGCCCTTCCCTGGGCCAGGGGTGCAGAGCCTTGCCCTGCGGCCTTGCAGGCAGCCTCCGGCCGGGCACCTGAGGGGCAGCGCGGTCACCCCACGTGCCCCGTGGGGCCGCCCTGGCTGCGGGGCCGCGCTGGGTGCGGGCAGTGAGCGCACGGTGTCAGCACGCGAGAGGAGAGACAGACACTGTTCTGCGGAGCGGGGTGCTGCCGGTGCTGCCAGGTGTCAGGCGGGCTGCGTCCCGGCCTGTGCGTGGGGAGCCAGGGCTGTGCTCAGCACCCGCTGCCGCTGCGGGAGTGTGCAGCCTGTCCCACCGCGGCCCTTGGCTGCACTGCCAGAATGTGGGTGTCCACGTGCCCGTTGGGAGGAATTGCCCAGGGCAAAGAGCTCCGTGTGGTGCCCCTGTCCCTGCGGTGTCTATCGCCAGCCGCTGCCATGGCCTGCAGCCTGCTCTTGTCTCTTCCCACTCTGGGTGTCCTGGGCAGGCTGGGGCTGATCTGAGTGGGCGCGTGGGGTGACGCTCCAGGACGGTGCCAGGAGGCGCCTGCGGCCCTGCCCGTGAGCCACTGCCCGGCGAGGTGGCTGCGGCAGGAGCGGGGCAGCCCACGCGGGCCCTGCCGAGAGCCTGGCTGCCAGCAGGGCTAGGCCGGGGCCAGCAAGGCTGGGGCTTCTTTGTGCCATGGGTCTGGTGCCCCCGTGCCAGGGCTGGAGCGGGAGCTGCAGGGACGGACTGAGCCCATGGGGATGGTACAGCATGGCTGGGCTACTCATGCCACTGAGCAGGGATGTGCATCCCTGAGGCCTGCAGCATGGCCAAGGCCAGCGCCAGGGCAGCCACTGGATGGACTTGTAGGAATGGTGGCCTCTCCTTGGTGCCCGTGCTCGGGTTCTGGGATTCACACCCGTGCACGTGCACACAGCTCCACAGTGCGGCCCCCCCGTAGCTGTCCCTGGCCCTGGGCGGCGCGGCCAGCTGGCCCGGCCCAGCAGCCTAGCTCTCTGCAGGGCCTGGACACGGAGAGCCTGGACAGGCTGCCCGGCTCCTGCCCCAGGCCGCCTTGCTGGGCAGCATCTCTTGGGCACTGGAAGGGCCGCAGGCAGCTCTCGGCACTGTCGCTGTTTCAGCTCGGCACAGGCCGCCCGCAGCTGCGCAGCGACGGGTGCTTCCCCAAAGCGGGTGCCACAGGAGCGGGCAGCCTCCTGGCAACCCCTAGCACAGAAGTGCTGCGGGGTCCGGGTGTGCTGCCCACTGTTGAAATCCTTGCAGAAACGCTGCTGCTGGGGCTTGAATGCTGTCCGGGCCAGGACGCAGCCCGGCAAGGGGCAGGGGTGCTGCTTGGGGCCAGCAGCTCGTTGCGGCGGGTCCTCTCGCGGCAGACACTGGATGCTGCCCTATGTGCCAGGGCTGGGCACAGAGAGGGGGTCTCACTTGTGGAGGGAGCGCAGGTCAGAGCCGTGCGGGCTGCAAAGCGCCGTGTGTCCTCGAGCGGCTCCTGCCCTCTCCTAGAGCTGGTAGCTCCGGCTCCCGGCTGTGGCGGGTGCGGGCTGAGGAGCAGGGCGCACGTGGGGCTGCCGAGGTGCTGCCCTGGCTCCGGGTGCCGTGACCTGCTGTCCTCCTCGCAGGGTGCTGCCGTTCTGCCCTGCCTGGAGCCCGACGTCCTGCGCGCCCATCCGCCTCCCGCCGTCACCAATGCGACCATGGGAACTGGCAGTGAATAGGCGGCCTCCCTCTGCCCCTTTTAACCACCGCCGTTTCTCGGGGGGACCCTGCAGCAGCCCTGACCACCTCCGGCGAAGGTATGGGGCGGCGCGGGGCCCAGCCAGGCCTGTGCCGCGGGGACGCCAGGCCTGTGCATGGCCACAGGGACGGCTATCACGGTGCCTCGTGAGGGGATCACTGCGCGAGCGCCTCTGCCTGCCCCGCTGATGGGTGCTGGGCAGGACAAGGCCGCAGGGTCCTATTGCCGAGGACACAAGGTGGCCAGAGGGGCCGGTCGCACGCGGAGCCCGGCCGGGCAGGGCGCGTTCGGAGCCGCTTGTGGCAGGCAGGTCGCGCGGGGTCCCCTGCCCGGCGCTGGCCGTCACCCCCGCTCTGCTTCTCTCCGCCGGTGCCGCCGCAGCCCCCCCGCCAGGCGTCAGTGGGGACGACGCGACCGACCTCTGGCAGCCCTGCTGGGCCAGGATGAGCCGCAGCTGCCCCCTGCCTTCCCCCAGCAGCCGCCCGCGCCCGTAGATGAGCCGCGCAGCTTCGCCCTCCCCAGCACAGCGCCACGAATGCTGCACCCGGCCGCGCACCCGCCCCACCAGAACCCCTTCATGGTGGATCTGCACGAGCAGGTGGGTGCCGCGCGGGGGTGCAGGGACAGGGGGCCCCAGGCCCTGCGGGGGGCCGGCGCAATGCCGGGGCAGCGGTGCCAGGATGTGGCACCTGGGCTCAGCCTGGACCCTCCGGCCGCAGCGGGGGGCTCTTGGACCCCGTGTCTCCGCTCCGCGCGCCCCGCGAGGCCGGGGGGCTCAGCCGAGCAGCCCCGTTCTGACGGCGCCCCGGGGGGCCCTGCCGCCAGGTGCACCAGGGACCTGTCCCTCTCTCCTACACGGTGACGACGGTGACGACGCAGGGCTTCCCGCTGCACGCCGGCCAGCACATCCCCGGCTGCAGCACGCAGCAGCTCCCAGCATGCTCAGTGATGTTCAGCGGGCAGCACTACCCGCTCTGCTGCCTCCCGCCCCCGGTGAGTGGTGCCCGCGGGGGGCACGGCTGGGGGGCAGCAGGGCCGAGGCTCATGCGGCCTCCTCTCGGCGCCCCACAGCTGATCCAGGCATGCGCCATGCAGCAGCTGCCCGTCTCCTACCAGACGTTCCCCCCGCTCATCTCCAGCGACCATTACATCCTGCACCCGCCGCCGCCGCCAGTGCCCCCCCACCAGCCGCCCCACATGCCCCCCCTGGGGCAGTTCGTACCTCTCCAAGCCCAGCACCCGCGCATGGTGAGTGGGCAGGGCGGCCACGGCGGGAGGGAGCCCGGGCACAGCCATGGGGCCGGGGCTCTGCACGGGTCTGGGCCGGGGGCACGAGGGCCTCGTGCCGGCCGGGGGGGACCTCGGGACCCCCCCGGCAGCATCTCCGTGTGTCTGGCAGCCTCTGCAGAGGATAGACAATGACGTGGAGCTGCGGGGGGAGCAGCACCCCATCACAGGCTTCACATACCCCCCGTCGCACCACGCGCCCCCGCTGTCGCCCTCCGTGCCGCTGCATTACCTCCCGCCCGAGCCGCTGCACCAGGAGCTGCCGTTCGGCGTGGTGAGTGCCCGTGGCGCGGCGCGGCGGGGCCCGCGGCGCGGCCGCCTCTCACCGCCCTCTCTCCCGCAGCCATATCCCCACATGCTGCCCCGGCGGCTCAGCGCCCAGCGCTACCGGCTGCAGCAGGCGCTGCCGCCGCCGCCTCCACCGCCGCCCCCCTACTACCCGAGCTTCCTGCCCTATTTCCTGTGAGTAGCCGCGGGCACGGGGGGGCGTGGGGGGCACAGGGGGTGTGGGGCTCTGCCTGCTGTGCTCCATGGGGCTGCCTGGCCCCATGGCGAGTGCCCTCTCCTCCTCCGGCGCCCGCAGCTCCATGCTTCCTGTGTCACCAACGGCTGTGGGGCCCACGATCAGCCTGGACCTGGACGTGGATGACGTGGAGATGGAGAATTACGAGGTGCGTGGGCTGCGCGGCGCCGCGGCCGCCAGGGTGGCCGGGCTGTTCGGGAGCCGCTCCGTCCTTCCCGCAGGCGCTGCTGAACCTGGCCGAGCGGCTGGGGGAGGCCAAGCCGCGGGGACTCACCAAAGCAGACATCGAGCACCTCCCGTCCTACCGCTTCAACCCCGAGAACCACCAGTCCGAGCAGACCCTGTGAGTGACGTGGGGCGCCAGGGCGGGACGGGGACGGGGCAGCGCGGGGCCTCGCTGATGCCTTCCCCCCAGGTGCGTCGTGTGCTTCAGCGACTTCGAGGCACGGCAGCTTCTCCGCGTCCTGCCCTGCAACCACGAGTTTCACGCCAAGTGTGTCGACAAATGGTTAAAGGTAACTGCATGTGGCAGCTCCCCGCTCCGTGTGGGCCGAGCCCCGGTGCAGGGGCCGCCGCTCACGGTGCTGTCACTTCTCCACCGCAGGCCAACCGCACGTGCCCCATCTGCCGGGCGGACGCGTCGGAGGTGCAGCGGGAGGCGGACTGAGGCCAGCGCGCGCGGGGCCGCGCCATTCCATAGAGCAAGAGGACGCCGGGCCGGGGGCCGGGGGCCGCTCGCCCGCTGCCGGGGCCTGACCGTGCGCTTACCCCCCCTCCCCAAAGCCTCTCCTCGGACGTGGTGAGACGTTGAGCGCCGCGGGACGCCGGCCGGGCGCCCTGCCCCGCCGCGGCACCCACTCGGCCGCTCGCCTGCCCGCCGCGCTCCCGGGGCCAGTCGTGCTGCGCTGCTGGCGGGAGGCGCCCGGCCGCTGCGCTCCAAAGACGCTGTTGTCGCTCCATCACCTTCCAGGTCTCTGTACCGATAGGGACTCTTTTTTGTTTTCCTTTTTTTTTTTCTCGATGATGGTAGAGACTTTTTATTATTTTTTTTTTGTTTCTTTCCGTTTCCTTTTCGGTTGCGTTTTTGGCTCCGTGGCCGTAGGGCCCGGGCGGCGCGTGGCTCCTCCTCCCGGCGCTGCTCACAGAGGAAGCGGGGAGGAAGCAGGAGGAGGAGGAGGAGGAGGCAGCACTGGCTGCCGCGGAGGGGCCGCCGCAGCGGTTGGTGGCAGGAGCGCGGCGGGGGCCGCACACCGCGGTGTGAGCCGGCAATGGCACTGGCGCGGCCGCCCCGCGCCCGCCATGTGGCCGCGTTGCCAGGCGGGAGGACGAGGCGCGGGCGGCCCCGGCCCCATTCCCGCTGCCGGCCGGAGCCCGTGCAGCTCCGCACGGCCAGGCCCGGCCCTCCCCACAGCTCCGGGCTCCCCGCCGGCCTCCCCGTGGCTCCGGATCCCGCTGGGGCAACCGGCCCCGGCGACCCCCGTCCTGCAGGCTGGACGGCGCCGAGCGCCCCGACATGGCGGGGGCTGCGGCTGGGAGGGGGGGAGTCCCCCTTTCCGACCTCCTCCCCAAAGTTGGGGCGTTTTTTTAAATCCGTAACCTTGCGGTGTCCCCCCCTTCCCTCCGCCAAGCGGGTCCCGCGCGGCCCCGTCGTGCGCCCCGCTGGCCCTGCCCTGGCCGGTGCCTGCATGGCCGCCATGCACCCCCCCAGGCCGGGGAGCAGCCGCCACGCGGCTCCGGAAGCCCTGAGCGCCCCAAGTTGTTTTGCATGACTAATTAACGAGGAGGAGGAGGAGGAGCAGGGAGGAGGGGCAGGAGCGCCCAGCCCTCCACCAACGGTGCGTGTTGCTGACGCGTGGGAGACTCGGAGAGGACGCCAACCCTATGTAAATGTTCACAAATATGCATGCATGTCTGACCAGCTTGGAACGTGGTATTGGCTACGTCTAGCCGGCTGTGGGGTGAGGGGGGTGGGGTGAGGGGTTTTTGTGCTCAGCTGATACTGCCATGCACTGTACTGCACATGTCCGCAACGCCGCAGCAGGACCGTGAGACTTTCAGGGCCGTCCCCACGGGGCCTGCGCCGGGCCGGGCCCCAAGGCGGCGGCCGGGGG